CTCGTGGATGAAACTGATTATCTGGACCCATTTCAGTCTGGCTTCAGACCCGGGTACGGTACTGAATCTGCCTTGGTCGTCCTGTACGATGACCTGTGCAGGGAGAAGGACAGGGGGAGTGCATCCCTGTTGGTTCTTCTGGACCTCTCAGCAGCTTTCAATACCATCGACCATGGTATCCTTCTGGATAGGCTAGCGGCATTGGGGGTCGGAGGCACTGCTTTGCAGTGGTTCCGCTCCTATCTCAATGGCCGATTCCAGAAGGTGGTGCTGGGGGACTATGACTCTGCACCATGGCAGCTATGGGGTACCACAGCTATGGGGTACCACAGGGATCCATTTTGTCCCCTTTGCTGTTTAACGTGTACATGAAACCGCTGGGAGAGGTCATCAGGAGGTGTGGGCTGCGGAATCATCAGTACGCTGATGATACCCAGCTCCACCTCTCTTTCTCAACCGATCCAGGTGAGGCAGTGGCTGTACTGAACCAGTGCCTGGCCAAGGTGATGGGCTGAATGAGGACCAATAAACTGAAGCTCAATCCAGACAAGATGGAGGTCCTGTTGGTTGGCGGATCGGGCTTCAGGGAGGGTGAATTGAACCTAGTCCTGAATGGGGTTGCACTCCCTCTTAGGGACAAGATTCACAGCTTGGGAGTGCTCCTCGACCCAGAGCTTTCACTGGAAGCTCAGGTGACAGTGGTGGCGAGGAGCGCTTTCCTTCAGCTTCGGCTGATTCATCAGCTGCGCCCCTACCTGGAGTACGACTGCCTGGCGACAGTGACACACGCGTTGGTGACTTCCCAACTCGACTTCTGTAACGTGCTCTACATGGGGCTACCCTTGAAGACGGTCCGGATACTTCAATTGGTTCAAAATAGAGCTGCCAGGCTGCTGACGGGGACTGGGCGTTATGTTCACATGACTCCAGTCCTCCGTCAGCTTCACTGGCTTCCCATTGAAGTCCGGGCCCAATTTACGGTGTTGGTGATGACCTATAAAGCCCTAAACGGCTTGGGTCCTGGTTACCTGAAGGAGCGCTTACGTCCATATATGCCCGCCCGCCCTCTGAGATCTGCGGGAGAGGCCCTGCTCCGGGAACCCTCCGTGAAGGAAATTAGGAGGGTAGGTACTCGGAGGAGGGCTTTCTCTGCAGTGGCACCCAATCTATGGAATGCGCTCCCCAGAGAGGTCCGCATGGCACCGTCGTTATTTGTTTTTCGGAGCCAGGCGAAGAACTTTTTATTCAAATGTCATTTTAATTGTTAATAGTATTTATTTATTTTATTCTTTGGCCAGGGAGACTTAATTTATACTGTTAATTTATATTATTTTAAGGAAGTTTATTTATGTTTGTGAGCCGCCCCGAGGCTTCGGCGAATGGGACGGCATAGAAATCTCCTAAATAAATAAATAAATAAATAAAAGACCACTGGAGGGCTCCAGGTTGGGGAAGGCTGTAGAAGCCGTTGTGGGAATGCAACCAAGGACAAATCGAGAACTTGGTTTATCCTTAAATTTTTATTCCAAGCTGCTTTCAAACTAAAAGGGTCTAGCTGCTTTTTTTAAAAGAAAGCATTACTGTCCAAATTATATGAAGAAAAAAAACCCTTCCACAGAGTTTAGATATAGTTATAGGAAGTCCCATTATTGGAGAGATGCTTGCAATGAAAATTCTGCAATGCAGAAGGAAGAAATGGAACCTAAGGCGAGATGAGCTCTTATAGCTGTGGGAAATTATGATGATCCTTAAATAATGCTAACTTCTCTTTCAGATGTATCAACTGATGTATCAGAGCACAAAATTATGAAAATATTTTACTGTTTACTGAATTCTGAAAAACACATAGTTAAGTAATGAGATTGTGGTATATTTAATTCAGGCATCTTTCTCAAGAGGAGGGTAGCAAAATAGCTCAGCATATTAGATTCAATTCATATTAGATTCAATCTAGTCATATCCAAGGCAGACCTAATTCCATGATTTCAGCAAGTTCACCCTACATATGACTAAGACTCAATCCATCCCTTTGTTTTTGCATCTCATCTAAATTAAACTAACCCTCCACTCTACTTTTCTGAAGATCCGCCATGTATGTGATGGACACCACTGTGCCGGAAGACACGGCAAATTCGACCCACACGCTGCCAACGTACGATGTCTCTGCCCTTGAGAACTGCACAGATAATGTCCACGAACTCAGAAAAACCTACCTGCCCGCTGTGTACAGCACGATCTTTCTCGTGGGCTTCCTAGGCAATGTGGTGGCCATCTGCGTGTACATTTTCAAGATGAGGCCCTGGAGGAGCAGCACCATTATCATGTTCAACTTGGCCTGCACCGACTTGCTGTACCTGTCCAGCCTTCCTTTCCTGATACACTACTACGCCAACGGGGAGCACTGGATCTTCGGGGACTTCCTATGCAAGTTCATCCGCTTTGGGTTCCACTTCAACCTGTACAGCAGCATCTTCTTTCTGACCTGCTTCAGCATCTTCAGGTACTTTGCCATCGTCCACCCAATAAGGTCTTTCTGTGTTCGGAAAAAGTCCTGGGCAGTCATAGCCTGCACTGTGTCTTGGATACTTTCACTGGTGGCCGTGAGTCCGGTCAACCTTCTAATTACCTCCAAAATGCAGGAGAACCGATCTGTTTGCCTTGACCTGAGTAGCTCTGACAATGTGGACATCATTAGGTTGTACGCCTGGATTTTAAGTGCCTTGGCTTTCTACTTGCCCTTATTAACGGTGACACTCTGCTATGCTGTGATCATCTATACCTTGGCCACAGGGCCCCACACTCAGAGTCCGTATAAGCGGAAGGCCCGCAAACTCGCCTTCCTCCTCCTGGTCGTCTTTTACTTGTGCTTCCTGCCCTTCCATGTTTTTAGGGTGGTTCGCCTCGAATTAAGGCTGTACCAGCTCAGCTGCACCGTGGAGAACCACATCCACGCTGCCTATGTCATCTCCAGACCTCTCGCCGCAGCGAATACATGTTGCAACTTGTTACTGTATGCCCTGATCAGTGATAATTTCCAGCAAGCCATCCAGTCCCTGCTGAGATGCAAGCTCCATCACTTAATACAGCAAGCAGCGAGCAGTGGTGACTTCAACAAGTCCGGAATAATACAGCTGTGAGCGGAGGTCTTTCGGGCACCTCCTCAAAACAGCAATTTGCTTTGCAGCAAGAGACAATGTGCTCAACTGGAGAGCGCCAGACTGGCGTAAACTCACCCACCGAGCAGAACTGCCTCGTGGGAAACAGGCCTTTGCATGTGTCCTTGGAAGGGCCTGGAAGTCGGAGAACTCTTAATTCGGGTGGGGGGGGGGCTTTGTTTGCTTCAGAGGCTGGGGTTTTACGCTTGTGTATCTGCTCTCTTGGGCAAATTAAACCATTGCTCCCATGTCCCTCCCCATTCAACACCTGTTTCTAAGCTCTTCCACTGCTGTACTTTCTGGCAGAAGGACCCTGGGCAGCCAGTGCAAAGCAGAGCAGGAGAAATGGTCCAGCCCGGGAGCTGCACCCTCCCAGTCTTTGCAAGGCTCCTGTGTGGCTCCCACAGCTCTGTTCACACATCCAGAGCAACCGCCTGGGCCGCAGCTGTAGCTGCACCGGTCCCCGCATGGATCCTGGAGCAAGCAGCACATGCCAGTATGGGGACTGAAGACGGAAGGCAGCGTTGACGTGGGGAATGGCCACAATGCATCTTGCACCTCAGGATGCGTTGGGTTCCGTGATATATTTGCCCAAAATTAAGGTAGATTATATCAAGGATCATGAAAATGTACGGTTGAGTCGAGTTACCTGAAGGCAAGGATTTGAAGGCAAGGCCCACCTGCATACCGTTTCTGAGGAGTTTGAAAGGCAGCGTGGAGCAGTGGGCAGAGTGTTGGACTGCAGCTGGGGAGACCTGGGTTTAGTCCACAGTAGCCCATGAAGCTCATCAGATGATTTGGGGCAATCACTGATTCTTAGTCTGTCCTACCTCGTAGGGTTGTTGTGAAGATAAAATGAAGCGGAGAAGCGGGAGGACCACATAAACTCCCTTTGGTTCCTTGCAAGAGGAAAAAGGGATAAAATATAAGTGTGATAGATAGATAGATATGAAGAATCCTCTACAAAAATGGAGTTAGACCAGATGGAGACGCAATATATAATTGTGTGTAAATATTTACAGGATTATTAACTGCTATTAAAGTGCCCAGAGAACCTCAGCTATTGGAGAGTACAGAAGTTAAATTGATAACAATGATAATAATTGCACAAAGGATTCAATGTAGTTAAGCCAGTGCGGTGTAGTGGTGAAGAGCATGGGACTGGGACTCAGACGATCCGGGTTCTTGTCCCCGCTCAGCCATGGAGCCAACTGGGTGACTTTGGGCCAGGCAGACTCTCAGCCTAACCTACCTCACAGGGTTGTTGTTGTGGACATAAGACTGAGAGCAGCAGGAGGAGGAGGATGTAAGCCACTCTGAGTTCTTTAAAAAAGGAAAGGTGGGTGGAAATCTAATAAATGAATACATGTGGCTGGGCATGCTTTGAATGGCCATGTGGAAGAACTCCATCCGGTGGAGCCTGGGGGCTGTTATCATGGTAGCCAGGGCACAGGTACCTTTATACATCTATAAAGTCTTTCTCCATGTTCAGGGAAAAAGTTCTCCAAGACATATATGAGTAGAAGGGCAATTTAGTCCACGTGTCCAGCAGCCTTTTCCAATTGTCACTCTGACTCTGTTTTACTGGAGAACAGACTCGTGTGTCTCCAGGAGAGCTGGCCTCCAAACTGAAGCATTTCCCAAAATATATAGGGACACTCTGTGTGTGTGTGTGCGTGCCTGTCTGTCTGTCTTTAGGGAGTGTCCTTGTAAAGTTCTCACAGGGTGCAAGTGGGGCTGGAGGAGGTCGCCCCCTTTGTTCACCACACCTTCTGAACAGAACCTGTGTGCAGTGGAAACTTCTAGAAGGCTAGGCCAGCTGCTGAACAACTGGCTTGCATGTCTGACAGATTGAGGGTGCCTCCAAGAGGACACCTACAGCACCCATCCAAAGACACTGCGCTGTTGTCCTGGTTTTCCCTATTTAATTTTAAAAATATGGCAAATATTTTTTTGCTGTATTGGCAAAAAAAGGGAAGAAACAGGGAAATGAAGGAGAGCTGCCAATGGAAGAAGAGGGCATCTGGGGCCTCAGCTAAATGCTGCCAAGCACCCAGGGTTGATACACAATGGGCCCCTTGACAGTTTCACATGCAAAGATCAATGGAGCGGAGGGGAGGCTGGGCACAGCCCTACCCACCCATAAACCCGATCAACCCGAAAGAGCTCTCTGAAGAAGGCTCGGGATGAGTGAATGCATTCAAACTGTATTCTGAAGGCCCCTCAGAATATTTCCTGTTCATACACTGAATGGAAAGCACGAAGGTCACACAGCTGCAGAGGTATTTGGCCTGTCACAAGCAGAGCAAAGTCAACCTGCAAGTTCAAGTGCTGAGGTGCCTCACATGCAGATGAATCAAGGCCAAAGTAGACGTCCTTTACAGCATGTTTGTAGCAGCTGCAGCTTTTGCATTTTTCTTTTAGGTTTAAATAGGTGTGGAGGAACCAGCCTGACTGGGATGCTAGCATGGAAGCTTTTAAGATCCAGGCTGGGGACCCTGCGCCTACCTGAGAGTACAAATGAAAAGGCAATAGAATTGCTAGACACATAAAGCAATACTTTTGGTACCAGGAGGTGAACAACAAGAAGGATTTTATTCCTTCATGCAACGAGGGCCTCTTGCCTCCCATTATTTTCCTTCCCTTCACTTGGCTGCCCCAGACTGGGCCAGGTCTGGTCTGCAATCTTTCAGTGCCTGATAATACTTTAAACTGCAGTTGAATTTTCCAGCCAATGTTTTGACTCGTATCTGTGTAGGTGACAATCCATGCTTAACTCCCTGGTGAGTTATGACTATAAACAAGATTCTTGAAATAACTCATGTCTCACACATGCCCATCTTGTGTGCTGAGCAAGAGCTGCTCAGTCTGTGTCCCGGGCATTTCCCTGCAGCCTTGCCTCTCCAAACAGCTCACACGTAAGCCACGAGCACGACTGTGCTTGTGCAAATCAGCTCTCCAAATCAGAACTTTTGCAAAAAATAAGAATACGATTTTGGATGCAAAGTGTGATAAGCTGGAAAGAGGACTGCAAACTTTTAAGAATATGATTCTGTGTGAATCATTCCTTCTGTGAGCTGAAAATAAAGATGTTGCCTAAAGTCTTTTTCAATGTAGCTGTAATTTCCTCCTTAAAAAATTGAAAAGGCTATTTGCTAAACAAGGACACTATATGCAGTGTTAAGCAAAAGGCATACTCCTTTTCTTCCAAATAGAAATAGCTAGGCAATGACTGATTTGTTCAGAGCTGATCAATGGATGCCCATCTGTTAAATAGATATATTTTATATGCCAAGAGAAATAGTTGACATGAAAACACTATTCAGCATCAGTTTCTAAACAGAAGTAGCCACAACGTTCAACCAACCTAACATTTTTCTGGATTGAGTCCAGAACGTCAAAAAACTGAAACTATATAACTTCCACTGGGATACAATTAATCAGAACTATTTTTTAAAGTTAAACTGAACATCTACACAACACTAGTCTAATTCTTCTTCATTGCATAAACAGAGCTTGCAAAGTGGCACAATTTTTCATCTCCACTCTCCACCTTTGATTAATACTGCTGATCTGAAGATCCTGATTTCATATTGTATTTGTACACAACAATAAAAGAACAGTTTCCTGGCATGGACATCACTGGAAACTGGTTTAACAAGCCAAGACAGAATTGCTGAAGCAGAGTGGGTTTTTTTAAAACTGTTTTCTTAAAAGAAATAAAGTACAAAAAGGAATTAAAATGTAAAAGACAAATAAGAACACCAAGGGATCTTACACAAATACAACCTGCAAATACCCAAAGAAGTCAAAAAGAGAGTGTTTCCAGGTGCCAAAGAAGTGGAAGGCAGGCCAAGACAGTGGGCCAATATCAAAAGAAATTATTCATTATTAAAGGTACCTTGCATTGCCTTTTTGCCTCCCATAAGAAGGGTTCAAGGTATCTTAGTACATAACAAAACAGAAGGAGGAATGCAGCAAACGTATTACATAGAAAGAAGTACAAGGTTCAAAAATATGGAAGACAAAATAAAAAGTAATACTAATCCTGAAAAATCCAATACTAAGATAAAGGGAAATGAATGTAGCAGGGTGGTTTAGGAGAGTGTCAGAAGATAAATGTCTGTGAATCATTTGTCAGGGGTGAAAAACAGCACCCGAAGCCAGTGTGTTAAGGGAGCACAATCAAATGAACGTTTACAGTTTATTCTGGCATACAGTGAAGTTATGCGGCCTTCAGGCAGACCCCAAAGGAACTACAAGATGAAGTTGGTACAAGAAGCGTTTATACGCTACCAGTTACATACAGTTTGGAGGAGAGGTGGGGGATTGGGTGAGGGATGATGCAATGGCACCTTAGGAATAGGGATTTAAGACAGCACAAAAGTAGGATCTTTCAGGACAGGTAAACCATTTACAGCTCTAAGAGTGTCCCTCCAAAGGAGAGATCTTTCGGGACATGGATAATAGCATTTCTAAGGCATGCATGAGAAGCAAGACTTGCAACATGTTTGTTCAATCAGATCGGGCATCCCATCTTAAGTCTGAAGCTGTTCCTACAGTGCCAGGCTTTTGGGAGCATGTTCTGGCAGAGCTGTCACTCATTTTGTTCCGACACATGCAACCTGCAAATTGTCATGATAATTTAACGCTATTTTCCTGCATTCATGTGGACTGAACTTGCCAGATGTAAAAACCATTATGGGCCTGAAAGGAACCAAACCAGGACCGTGTCAGTCATAAGGAAGCTGAACTGCACCAGAATCATTGTCACCTCCACCTTAGTCCGGGTTTCGCCTCCATGAGAAAAGCACTGGGAGAATGTGGATTACAAGTCCATCATGTCGTAGTTTCTGGAACCTCGAAAGGTGAGTTGAAAGGCACCTACGTTTCCTGATCTCATTTGGAGGCTCTGTGTTTCCACAACAGCCACTGTCCGTAAAACCAAAAACAGTCTGCAGGGAACGGAATCTCAGCAGCAC